AAGTCGGGAGAAGGGTGAGCAGTGGAAAGAAAAACGGAAGAATGTTAAAAAAAAAAAAAGAGCCAAGTGGAATGTGGACAAAGGGAGTCAAAGCTTCTGTGCTCTTCACTCTAAACTCCTAAGCGATGATCTTCCCTCCCGCCACTCAGCGCCGGACCACCGAGGGCGAGCTCATTGCCGGCTTCAGCGAAAAATCGTCCAGACTCCGCCGGCTCCGCCATGTTTTCCCAGTGAGCATGCGCGCGAGTACGCACGCACGCACGCACGCCTCAGCTCTAACCAATCAGCGCCCACGTCGGCGTTCCGTTCAGCGCAGGGGCGGGGCGACTTTCTGCACATGCGCACGGTTGGGTGGGCCTCGTTCCTTCTCGCCGAGCGCCGCCAACATGGTGAGTATCACTGCTGCGGGCTCCGGGGTCTGGCCGCCCCGCAGCTGCACCACCGCCTGAGCGGGGCGCGGAATGGCGCCCAGCGGGCCCTACGTAGCGCAAGGTGAGGGTTTCCGGGCGAATGGAGCACGTAGTTTGCGGGCTTCCCGGACCCGCGGCCGATAAGCGCGTGGAGGGCCCGGCAGGCCCGGCGCGCCTGGGCTTACGCGTGCGCGCAGCCGCCGCCAAAGCTGGAGGGCCGGCGGCCTGGCGGGGCTGGGACTGGCGGGCCGGGCCGTGACGGCCGGCGAGACCCCGGCTTTTGCCGCCGTCCCCGCCTCTGCGAGTTTGTTATCCAGGTCGACCCGTGGCGCTTGGGGTGGGTGTTCCCCTCTACGTTCTTCGCTGCACTGAGCCTCTTTGCCTGTAAACTGCAGGACCCTGTAAATGTGGAGAGATTTTAATCAGTTTCGCTTTCCTCCCCCGCGGCCCACTTTAGGTGTTCAGGCGCTTCGTGGAGGTTGGCCGGGTGGCCTACGTCTCCTTCGGGCCTCATGCCGGGAAGCTGGTCGCGATCGTAGATGTTATCGATCAGAACAGGGTAAGTGTAAGGAAAGAGTCACAGCTTCCCACGGCAGTGGGTGGTGCGCTGTAAGGACCCCAGCGGCCCCGGAGGCAGGAGGGCTGTGGGCGGGCGATGGCGGTATTTTAGTTTGGGGAAAGCAGGCAGGGCGCTGTAGGGGTTTTCAGGCACAGATTTGAGTTGGCCAGTGCCACTGGGTTTGGGTATTACCTCTGCGGCTTACACTAGCCAGCACCTTTATGGCTAAAACATTGGTGAGGGTTAAATGAGTTACTATATATGTATAAAGGGAGTTTAGAACAAGCCAGGCATGTAGTATTGAGAACCACAAACTTAAGGGATTGACCAGAGGCTGTGAATGGACATTAAGTTGTTTGTTGGGAATGTAAGGATTGAAGACTTATAATTGTCAAGTAAATTACATGTAGTTAGGTAATAGGCTGAACTACTGCTAATAATAATTAATCGTTTTTTTTTTTTTTTTTAAAGCATTTAAATAGTAGGGCTTGGATTTTGAAAGGACATGTTATTGCAGACTATCCTGTTGAATGCTGTTAGGTTTTGCACTGAGGTCTTGATCTTATGTATTCTAGGCTTTGGTTGATGGACCTTGCACTCGAGTAAGGAGACAGGCTATGCCTTTCAAATGCATGCAGCTCACTGACTTCATCCTTAAGTTCCCACACAGGTAAGACCCACCTCCCAGCTTTGCTTATGCTAAAGCAGCAGTGGCCAACCTTTCGGACCTCATGGGCCACCAGTGGTCCGTGGACCACCGGTTGGCGACCACTGTGCTAGAGAACATTTTCTTGGTTTACTTAAAAAAAAGTTTTTGTTGTTTTCCCTTGAGAATATAGTGAACAGTTTTGAAGAATGGAAGCAATTCAGAAGAAGAATTTCCAGTGTAGTGGGCGGGCATTGTTTCCCTTTAAATGTGCTGTGATCTTTTCGTTCTCTGGCTTTGCCTGTGTGCAGATTTGCCATCCTCTTTTGTTTGTACCTCTCTCAGGATTTACACAGCAAAGACCTTTTTTAAGGAATTCTGGTTTCCTGTTTATATTTTCATCACTTTTAGTTCCAAAACAAAAACGAGTTCTTGTCTCTTCCAATACTCGTTATCCTTAGTTGAATGTTTCCTATGTGTCAGAAGTATTCAACAGCCCTAGCTAGTTTTTCTCAGTGGTAAGAGTGTCGGCCTGCTGATGGAAGGGTCTTGGGTTCAATTCCCAGTCAAGTGTATGGACCTGAGTTGCTTGCTCGACGTCTGGCCCCAGCAGGGGCAAGTACGGGAGGTAACCACATCAATGTTTCTCTACTGCCACCCCTCCCCTCCAGTCTCTCTTTAAAAAAAATCAATAGAAAAAATATCCTCGGGTGAGGATTTTTTTAAAAAGTAACATGCCTCATTTTGTGACAGTTACTTACAAGGAATTGAGAAAACCATTAATTCTTTTTTGACATGCTTGATGTAGACTATGGACGTTAACTGCTGTGTTGCTGTATAGTTATCCAACTGCACTGACAGTTGTAGTGGGACACCTGTAACTAGTTTACTTTTGAAGTGTACTGGGTTTATTGTGTGTTTGAGGTTATAAGACATCCAAAGATGTGGTGTGCTGGGTGGTATTTATTCTCTAGAGACAACTAGAGCTAGAAGTACAACAAATGGGAAGGGTACTTTTGGGATTATTTTGCTTATGCTTTTTAACCTGAGAGGGGGTATCAGTTCTGCTTTTCAGAGGGTGAAAAGCTGCCCTTGAGTTTGTGTTGCTTCAAAGCTGATTTCTTCATCTCTAGTCTTGGTTCTTTCTAGTGCCCGCCAGAAGTATGTTCGACAAGCCTGGGAGAAGGCAGATATCAATACAAAATGGGCAGCCACAAGATGGGCCAAGAAGATTGAAGCCAGAGAAAAGGTAATAACTTACAGTCATTTGAATTCTGACCTTTTTTGGAGGGTTGGAAGGTGGTGTAAGAGAGTTCTGTGTTTTGTTTTTTATAGAAAGCCAAGATGACAGATTTTGATCGTTACAAAGTGATGAAGGCAAAGAAAATGGTAAGTTTTTAAAATTAGTACAGGATTATGTTTTAACCCTAAACTTATTTATATGGTAATTCTGTTTGCCCATGCTTAGTAGAGCAAAGTTGATTATATGAGGGTCTTAACATTAGGGTTTTCTCTTAAACATATATACATATATGACAAATAGTCTCTGTGTGCATGTTGTAAATACACTTACATTGGCATTTTTCAGAGGAACCGAATAATCAAGCTTGAAGTTAAGAAGCTTCAAAAGGCAGCTCTCCTGAAAGCTTCTCCCAAAAAAGCACCTGCTGCTAAAGGTGCTGCAGCAGCTGCTGCAAAGGTTCCAGCAAAAAAGGTCACCGCTGCAGGCAAGAAGGCTCCAGGCCAGAAGGTTCCCGCCCAGAAACCTGCAGGCCAGAAGGCAGCGCCTCCAAAAGCTCAAAAGGGTCCGAAAGCCCCAGCCCAGAAAGCACCTGCTGCTCCCAAGGCATCTGGCAAGAAAGCATGAGAACACGAGGGGCTACTATAAGCGATTAATAAAGGTTCTTTTTAACACACTGGCCCATCTGCTTGCTGTGGGTGAACGTCTGCTGCGGGGCAGGGATTGCGAAGGAGATTGATAGTAGGAAGGTTGATGTCATTATTAGAAAATCAGTTCCTTTGTCTCATTCTGCCTGCTTTCAGGTAGTTTAAAGCCATCACACTAAGTGGTAACGAGTTAATGTTCTCATGGGAAATGATGATGAGAACATCAGGTGATTTTTTTTCTAGTACAAATATATTTTCCATATAAACACAAAATTCTAGCAGCTTTGGATGCTTGAGGGTTTAATAAGATACATTCTAAGTTTGGTTGCCTATCATTTCTAACCAAAAGCTGATTTCCTGAACCTGACTGGGAAATGGACAAAATCATTTTGGCTTGATATTAATAGTCAAGTGATAATAGTGTAATAGCTTCTGTGATAAAGGAAATGCAGTCAGTTTGGGGTTACCTGGCCTGTGTGAGGGTTCAGGAGTTGTCTAGAGAATTAAAATTATACCCCCCTTTTTTTGTGTGCCACAGAATTTAGTCATTTATGTGTGCCATGAGATGAAAAGGTTGAAGATCACTGGTCTAAACCAACTCTGGTGGTAGTGCCACGTAGGCCTAAGTAAGCCATCTTACTGGTTTCTTGGTTTTACTGCTCCTGGGTTCATTTTCTGGTTTTCAGTTACTGCATCCTCTAGTGTTTCTTCCTGTTAGGCTTCATGAGTGATAGACTTGGCTTACTTGTCTGTATTATTTTGTCCTCATGAACTGTTTCTTACAGCATTTCTCATAGTACATGTGTGGGTTTTATACTCCACAGCAGCCAGTGCGATTCTGACACTTGACTACCAAGGGGTTTAGAGGTCTGCTCCCACTTCAGATGCAATCACAAGGCCCAGGCCTTCTGAGTAACCGGCTATAGATTGGACTGCCTCCTGCGGCTTGATAATTGACGGACAGCTCATCATAGAACCCCTTCCTGTTAACAGTTTATTAGAAAGGTTAAAACTTAACAGCTCTTCCCACTTCCAAGGCTCCTGCTGCAGGCGCGCAGCCACAGCCATAGCACCCAGGCAGCTCTGGCACACGGAGCAATGATCCCCTCGCTGCCTGGCAGAGCAGCCCGTACTGGCAAACGCCAGAGAACGCTGGGTAAATCACAGAATTGTAACTCATGGCCCTGCAGGACCCGAGCCTGGGGCCGGCAACTTTCTGCGAGAAAGTAGGGACAGTGGTCTCTGCGGCTGGGATAGGGAACCATAGAGACGAGCTGCTTCCCAGGATTCTAGAGGAAACGGTGCACGCACTTCCGGCTGGGCCGGCGCGCTTCCCTAGGGCCTAGGACTCGTTCCCACCACGCTGCGCCTGCGCCTGCGCCTGCGCCGTGCGGGTTAGCCCTCAGGGCAAGTCGGGGCTCGCCTCCCAGTGGCTAACAGGTTTGTTTCCCGGGCGGCGGGCGGAGTGTCTAATAAGCTCTGCCTTTGGGGTGAGGAGGTGGCGGGAGGAATGGGGCCCGAGGCGAAGAGAGCACATTCGCAGGGTGCGAGGCAGCGTTAATTTTACCCGTGCCTCCTTATTTCTGCTCAGTCTCACCGCTAGAACCTCGAGGGCGGCATGTCCAGGCCACGTGGCACCAGGTGAGCCGGCATCCTCTCGGCCTCTGTGGATCCCCATCCTTATGTGTCAGTGTCAGAAGCGTTCAGACCTCTTATGAGTTTACTCAAGCCAAACTGATGGCAATTGACGGGAAGCAGAACCTCAACAGATTGAGAAAATGCTCTGGAAAATGGTAGTTTTGCATCTTATTTTATACATTACAGCCAAAAGAGAAGGCATAAGTGGGCTACTGGAAATCCATGGGTGATAGATTAGTGAGGCAGCAGAAAGCAAGGGGTGTGTGTGTGTGTGGGGGGGGGGTGGATCGGATAAAAAGTAAAGTGATAGACACTTGTTTTACGTAGGTGGGTACAAGTTAAGGTTCACGTTTAACATGATAATAACTATGAGGGGATCTGTTGTCTCTACTGGTGCCCGCTCTTTGAGGAGTCCAGAAAAAGAGCAATTACCTTGTTATTGCAAAGGCATATTTTCCTGGTATGTTATCTTAGATGCAAAAAGACCAGGGACAGCCTTAATTAAGGTGAGGATTGACCTTTGTTAGGGAAAAATGCCTTAGGCATGACTACGCCACACACTGCTTTTAGTTCAAAAGTTTTAATTTAAAACCATCCCTCTGTGTTACCTGAGTTTGTAAGGCTGCCACGCAGGCCTCCCCTGCACTTGTCAGGTTTAGTATTTGGTCCCTTTTTGTCCACAGATGTCAGGAGAGTTGGTGTCAGCTCTGCATCCAGACCTTGAGTTGTCTGGGCCAGTGGCTTCCATTTTGAATCTGTCACAATTGGATGTGTTTGCAGAAGAGGAGTTGAGGGGTGGAGAGATGAGAATGCCCAAACTAAGATAATTGCAAGGGGGGAAAAAAGGAGTATGGAGGGATTGACTGGGATAGATTTGGCATTGAGGCTGAAAAGTAGAAATTAACTGAAAAGTGGAAACTGCAACACTGCATACAATAAAGACCCCTTTCACCCCATTCACAAGATTGTCTTCCTTGGATAACACAATTCTAATAATTATTTTGTAGATCCCATTGGATTTTCTACATAGACATGCCATCTATGAATAAAGAGTTTATTTTTTTCTTTCAAGTCTGGATGCCTTTATTTTTCTTGCCTATTTGCACTGGCTAGAACCTCCAGTTCAGTATTGAGAAGTGGTGAGAGCAGCTGTCATTATTGCTGCTCTTTTTGCCTTTGTCTTTTTTCTCTCTGTGTTTCATTTGGTATTGCTATGCCTTACATGCACTTCTCCCTTCCCTGCCCCAACCTGTGCAATTTCTGATTTGCCGTTAATTCCATGAAGTATATTTTTCATCTCAGACATTGGAGTTTTCATATCTAGAAGTTTGATTTGGATCTTTTAAAGAAATATATCTTGTATCTATTTAACTTTTAAACCTATGGTATACATTTATAATAACTACTAGAGGCCTAGTGCACGAAATTCGTACACTGGAGGTGGGGGGGCTCCCTCAGCCTGACCTGTGCCCTCTCACAGTCCAGGACCCCTTGGGGGATGTCCACCTGCCGGCTTAGTCCCGATACCTGGGGATCGAGCCTAAGCTGGCAGTCAGACATCCCTCTCGCAGTCTGGGAACCCTCGCTCCTTACCGCCTGCCTGCAGCAGAGGCGGGAGAGGCTCACATCACCACTGCTGTGCTCACCAGCTTCTGGCTGAGTGGCGCTCCCCCTGTGAGAGTGCACTGACCACCAGGGGGCAGCTTCTGCGTTGAGCGTCTGCCCCCTGGTGGTCAGTGTGCATCATAGCGACCAGTCTTTCCATTGGTCCTTCTGCTGTTCGGTCAGTCTGCATATTAGGGGTTTATTATATAGGATTTTCATGTTCTCTGTTAGTGAATGCCAGGCATTGTTCCCTTCAGTCCTTTCAAAGGATCCTTTCTCTGGCTTTGGGTCATTTACTTACAGCCATGCCTAGATCAGTACTCTGTTAAATTTTCTAGGGGAACCGTCTGCAGGTGACTTGTATTCTTTTCCTGTTCAGCTCTTTCCTCTGCTTTTCTGTCCTATAAATTCTAGCTGTCTTGGTCCCCTCAGACTCTACCACGATCTGCCAGGCTCTGTCTCAGTTTGCCCTCCCTGCATTATAGCCTGGAAACTTCCGGCGTAGTAAGGTTGGGGAATCATGGGGCTTACCTCTTTGTTTCCCATGTCTCAGGAATGGTCTTTCATTGCTTGATAACCAGTATCTTAAAAACTGTTGGTTTATGTAATTTTGTTCAGGCAGGAGGCTAATCGGATCATGTAGATGAGAAATGGAAGTTTTTCCTTAGCATTTTGAAAAACATTTCCCTTACTTTTGCCATGTAGTGACTCTCCAGTCTTCATGTATGTGTTGTTTTTCCTTCTCCAAAGCCTTTAGGATCTTTTTTTTTTTTTTTTTGTTAAATATATTTTATTGATTTTTTTCAGAGAGGAAGGGAGAGAGACAGAGAGTTAGAAACATCGATGAGAGAGAAACATCGATTAGCTGCCTCCTGCACATCTCCCACTGGGAATGTGCCCGCAACCAAGGTACATGTCCTTAACCGGAATCGAACCCGGGACCCTTGAGTCCGCAGGCCGACGCTCTATCCACTGAGCCAAACCGGTTTCGGCTTTAGGATCTTTTTTCATGTCCTCATTTTTCTGAGACTTCTCAATGGGGTGTCTTTGTATAGATGTTTTTCATTCATTGTCCTAAATTCTTTGTGGGCCCTCCCTCCTCCCTGGTGCTTTTAAACAGAGAGAATATTTTACCAAAATATCCTGTGGTGTGAATGATCTCCTTTTGGTTTGCCTCCCCCTCTGCCAGCAGTTAAGATTCAGCTTTCTCTGCTTTTCTAACTTAGATACCACCCATCCTTTATTTTCTGCCTTCTGACATTTTGTTAACACCTCCTCGTGGGCCATGATGTTACTATCACTTTAGTGGGATCAAGGAGGGAGTGGAGATCAGTACAAAAGTGCTGTGTGTGGGCTGTGTTTATACAGATGCCCCTGTGCATGTGCACAGGAGGCCCAGGTAGGGGGAAGGAGCCAGAGGGACTGACAGGTACACAGAGCAGGGCATGGCAGAGTCAGCACAGAGATCCACAGGGGGTGACCACAGAGGGGTGCAGTGAGGAGGGCAATGCGGCTGAGGGCTGGCCCCTGTGGTGGGGAGGGTGCTGGCTAGCTGTCCTGGACTATACCACCTGACCCCGTGGGCCTCTGCCCCTGTACTTAGGCTCCACTGCCCTCACACAGGCGTGAGCCGGAACCTGTTGTTTCAGGAGCCGGTGAGCTTTGAGGACGTGGCCGTGTACTTCACTCAGAATGAATGGGACATCCTGGACCCTGTGCAGAGGGCCCTCTACAGGGAGGTGATGCTGGAGAACTATGCAAATGTGGCTTTCGTGGGTAAGACATTTCTTCTCCCTGTTATTGTCTGCCTCTACCTTTTGAGCATCCTATTCTCTTTCTTCCTTAGACTTTGTGGGTCTCCAAACACCCTCATGGGCAGTTCTCTAAAGGCTGAGCTCCCCAGAAGCTACTGGGTGGGGAGAGCCTGGGTTCCCAGGTTTTGAAGTCGGCTGTCCCTCCAGCCCTGAGAGGGGCTCTGCCTTAAGCACGGTGGTAAATGAAGGTTTCTTGGGAGCTCAGCAGAGCCCCTTTGTGTCCCTGTCCTCCGATGAGGGAGGGATGATTCCAGGACTCTCCCCCTTCTTCTCGCGTCTCGGCGGCCTTCCTCTCACCGAGGGTCTCTGTTCATCACTTCGCTCTGTCTGCCCTTTTATCCCTCCCAGTCACTTGGGGGAAAGTTCTTGGTCTTTTGCCCTAGTTAACAGTCTTTTCTGTCTCCCCGTCTTGATGCTCTTTATGGGAATGCTGCCTGGCCTCACCTGCCTCTCCCCCACGGAGTCTTCTTTCTAGGGGGGCTCTTCTGGGTGGTGATCTTTGGTGCCCTTTTCTGCACAGACTGGAAAATATCCACACACCTGCTCCTGTTTCCCCTGCAGCACAAGTCTTCTGTTTGCAAGATCAGGGGCTGACGGCTGTGTTTTCTTTTTGTGATACCAGGGGGCGAGACCAGAATTGAGAAGGAAAAATCCACTCCAAAGGAACACATTGCCAAAGAATCAGAGTCCCGCAGACTGACACTGGCAGGGCTGCCAGGGAATGTTCCCCAGGACCTTGATCTTGGGAGCAGCCCAGGGCAGCAGCACAGCCACTGGGTAGTTACGAAGGCAGAGTCAGAGAGGAGAAATTTCACTGATGGGTCATTCCAGTATCATGAGGCCCAGGCTATTGAGAGTGGGGAGAAGTGTGAGAAATTAGCAAAAAACATTAGCGTCAACACACAACTCACCGCGAATCAGCCAGGTCCTGGTGGTCAGATACCTTATGAATGTAGAAAATGTGACAGATACTTCAGTCGAATGGCCGACTTCCACCGACATCAGAGGTGTCACACTGGTGAAAAGTCTTTTGGATGCAAAGAATGTGGGAAAGACTGCAGGTGTAACTCCTGTAACTCACTACTTACTCGGCATCAGGTAGTTCACACTGGAAAGAAACGACTTAAATGTAAAGAGTATGGGAAAGGCGTAAGTTCAGACACAGCCTTGACTCAGCACCAGAGAATCCACACTGGAGAGAAGCCCTATGAGTGTAAGGAGAGCGGCAAGGCCTTCAGTAGCAGCTCTGTCTTCCTCCAGCACCAGAGGTGCCACACTGGGAAGAGACTCTATGAGTGTGAAGAGTGTGGGAAGCAACTGAGCTCCAACACAGCCTTGACTCAGCATCAGCGCATTCACACCGGGGAGAAGCCTTTCGAATGTAAGGAGTGTGGGAAGGCATTCGTTCAGAAATTCACCCTGGTTCAGCACGAGCGAGTGCACTCTGGTGAGAGACCTTACGAGTGTAAGGTGTGTGGGAAAACCTTTAGCTGGTGTGGAAGATTCTTTCTACATAAGAAACTCCACACGCAGAAGGCATCTGTCCAGGAGGAGGACTAGCCACAGCTGGGCTCACTGCCTCTCCTGGTGTCTCTCCGTCTTCATGTTTTTTGTCAGTGTCATCACTGTTCTTCCTGGACTGTGCTCATTCTTTTTTCAAAAAAATCCTCACCCAAGGATATGTGTATTGATTTGAGAGGGAGAGGGAGGGAGAGAGAGAGAAACAGCGATGTGAGAGAAACAGTGATCGGTTGCCTTCCGTATGTGCCCCAACTGGGATTTAACCCACTACCTCGTTATGTGCCCTGACTGGGAATTGAGCCCACGACCTTTTGGTGTATGGGACCATGTTCCAACCAACTGAGCCACCTGGCCAGGGCTGTACTGGACTGTGCTAATTCTTAACTGTATGCCTCTGTTCCTATAACTCTGTGTAACTGGAATGCCCACTTCTCTCCTGTCCCAGTAAGATGTTTAATTCAGGCTCTTGGCTTCCCCAAATTCTCTGAGCCCTTGTTTCCCCAACATGAACTTTCTTTCCAGTTAGAAAAGACTAAAGAACAAATCTCAAAACTTACAAACATGAAAGGAATGTAAGTTTCTAGACTGAAAGGCTATACTAAGTGCCCAGCAAGACTGATTAGAATACCAGGTTTGAAGAGATCCTAAAAAGTATCTAGAGAGAAAAAACAAAAAATCAGGGGGAAAAAAAATGGCATCCCATTTCTCAGTAGTAACCTTGAAAGTTAGGTGACTACGGTGCATGCCTTCAAAATTCTAAGGGAAAATCATTTCGTCCAGAATTAAAGACATTTCAGACCCTTTAAATCTTAAAACTTGTATGTCCCATGTATCTCTCTTCAGATGTGCAACATTAAACAAGGGGTAAACCAGAAAGATAAAGATATATGGGCACCTATTACAATATGAATATTAGAAGTCTCCCAAACTCACCAACAGAGGGGCCTTGTCCATGGGAGCCATCTGCGTCTAGGACATTCTAACAGAGTTCAGACTTTCCGAGACCGACCTCCGGTGCAGCCCACCCACAGTACTTTCTACTCTGAAGTTCCTCTTGACCACTCAATTGCTGTCTGTGCCTTTGCAAAAGTTGGGGTGTGTGTACTCTGAATCAGATGCAAGATGCTATCTGTCTTAAATTTATCCATCTCATTGCTGTTCCAAGTGACCTCACAGCCGGAACATTTCTTAGCAACTTCATCTAGTTTTTTTTTTTTCCACTCAGGGAATTAGCTACCACTTTGGCAGACAGCTTGACGGCCCACTGCAGGAAGCAGAGGGTTAAGTTACAGAAACTCGATGCTAATTTCTTTATCTGTAAAATAGGGATGACAATCTACCTCATAGTTCTGTGTTGAGGATTAGCTGCATTAATACATGTAGAAGTGCTTAGCACAGTGGCTGGAGCATAATAAACAAAAATGTTATTTATTGGAATGTGATTGATATGTTTTGACTTACGTATACACCAATGAAACAATCACCACAAGATAATAAGTGGCCAAACCTCCCAAATTTTCCTTATGCCCCTGTAATTCTCCCTCCTGGCTCCCCACAGGGAACCACTGATGTGCTTTCTGTCACTTTGCCTTCATTTTCCTTTTCTAGGATTTTATATGAATGTTGCCACACTAGGTACTTTTCTCTGGTCCAGTGTCTTTCACTTGGAATAATTATTTTGCGGTTCACCCATGTTGCATACATCAGTGGTTCATTCCTTTTTATTTCTGAGTAGTATTGCACTATGGATATATCACAGTTTGTCCATTCACCTCTTCATGGCCATTTGGGTTGTTTCTAGTTTCTGGTTGTTACATATAAAACTTCTGTGAACATTTGTGTTCAAGTGTTTGTAAATGTATATGCTTTTATTTATCCTGGTAAATGCCAGGAGTGGAATAGCCAGGTCATAGATAGGTATATTTATGTTTTTAAGAATCTTCAGAATGGTTCTACAAAGTTGTGGCATTTACATTCCCACCATCGTATGAGAGTCCCACTCCTAATACATCTTTGCCTACACTTGATATTTCATTTTAATTTTAACTATTTTGATAAGTGTATGACGCTATCTTATTGAAATTTTAATTTGCATTTCCCTAATGACTAATGCTATTGTGCATATTGTCATGTGCTTACTTACCTTCCATATGTCTTCTTTGGTAAAGTTCATATTTTCTCCCTTTGTTTTAATTGGGTTTTCTTTTTATTGATATGTGAGAGGTCTTTATATACTATTGACACAAGTCCTCTTTCATAGATGTGATTTCCAAATATTTTCTCCCTGCTTGTGGTTTGTCTTTTCATTCTCTTAACAGTAGCTTTTGAAGAGCAGATTTCAATATTGATGAGGTCCAATTTTTCAGTTCTTTTATGGATTGTGCTTTCAGTGTCATATATAAGAAATATTTGCCTTACCCAAGTTTATAAAGGCTTTTTTCTATTTTTCCTTCCTGTTTTTATAGTTTAAAATTTTACATTTAGATCTATCACCTGTTTTGTACAGGGTGTGAGGTATGGACCTAAGTTCCTCCCCCCTTCCCTTTTTAAATGGATCACCTATTGTAGCACCATTTTTTGAAAGCATGGTTCCTTCTCTTCTGAATTGCCTTTGCACCATTGTCACAAATCAGTTGTCCCTGTCTGTGTTGGCCCAGCACTAGATTCGGTTTTGTTGCACTGATCTGTTTGTTTATTTTGATGCCATTAACATACTGCCTTAATTAAAGCCATGTAGTGTCAATCATTCTACTTTGGTTTTTGCCAAAGTTGTTTAGGCCATTCTAGGTCCTTTGCATTTCCATGTGAGTTTTAGAATCATTTTGTCTATTTCTACAAAACACATTCTAGGATTTTGTATTGAATCTATAGATCAGTTTTGGAATAACTGACATTGTAACCATTTAGATAGTCTTTTGACTTGTGAACATTGTAAATGTATTCATTTGTTTAGATCTTAATTTCTTTTAGCAGTGTTTTATTCATTTATTTAGATCTTAATTTCTTTTACTGTTTAGGTCTTTTATATGTTTTCTCAGACTTATGTCTAAATATTTCATATTTTTGATGCTCTAATAAATAGTAAATTACTAATTTTCATTGATGGTATACAGAAATATAATTATTGTATTTTGATCTTTTAGCCTGCAACCTTGCACAACTCACTTATTAGTTCTAGTGACATTTGTAGATTCCATAGGCTTTTGTAACATTGACAAAGCCTTTTACGTCTTTTCCAATTTTGGATGCATTTTCTTTTTCTTGACTTATTGCATGGGCTAGTGGCTGGGGATAGTGTGTTTTCCTGTTCCAGACTTTAATTTGATCCATGAGTAGATTCCTTGACAGCTGCAAAGACTAACGTTTCCCGTCTCTCCTGATTCACCTTGCCATGTAGCTGCCTCTGGGTCAGTGCTTCCTTGCACTCTGTCCCTCTGGTAAAGCTGTTCTGGGAAAGAACAGGACTAAGCCATTTAATATAGGGCATGTCCTGTACACACAGGATGCCTGGCAACCTTAGTCACCATTATTTTGGTTGTTAAATGAATCTGCTCTAAAGGTCCCCCACAGGTCTAGTCTAGGTCCTAGGAAGGAGGGGGCAGGTGGAAACAGAGACATAGAAGCATAGGACAGACTGACAAATTTCAGAGGGAAGATGGGTGGGTAAGTGGGTAGAGATTAAGCAAAGAACTTACATGCAGAACCCATGGACACAGACAATAGTGTGGTGAAGGCCTGGGAGGCGGTGTGGGGTGGAGGGGGTTAATGGGGAAAAAAGGGTGACATTGTAATACTTTGATCAATAAAGTTAAATTTAAAAATAAAAAGGCAGGTGGGAACCATGGTTTAGGAAACCCAGGCAGGATCCTTGGCTTAGGCCCCTAAGAGATGACAAACAGGAGCCATCCCCCCACACCTGCACAGCCCAGGTGACCCACGGAGTAACGGCGGCCGACAGCCGGTGGGGCAGTCCGTCACCTGCGGCCCCGCTGGGCCTAGAGGCCGAGGTCTGAGCGCAGCGAGGCTGTATCCGAGCCGCGACGCCCCAGTCCCAAGCTTGCAACAAGGGTCGCAGCTGGCAGGGCCCCCCGACCCCCACCAGCGACGGGCGGCGCGGGCAGGGACCCGCCCCCAGCCCCACCCCTTTCGCGGCCGGCCCGGTCACGTGGGGGCGGGCGCCGGGACCACCGAGACGGCCGGCCTCCGGCTGCCTAGAGGGGCGCTGGGCGCACGCGCTCGCTTCCGCGTCGGCGTTTAGCCGCCAGCTTTACGCGGTTCGGCGAGGAGGTGTGTGCATCCCAGCGAGTGCTCCGTGCCAGGTCCGCCCGGTGCCGGCCCCCTCACTTTCCCTGGCGCCCCGAGCTCGGTCCCGTTGGTGGCTCGCGCCTCCCTGACCCGGGTCCGGGCCTCGCAGACGCCGCCGAGGGGGCTGCGCGGCCTCCGGAGCCCGAGCCCAGCCCCTGCCCAGCGCAGCGCGACCCTCTTTCCCACCCCAACAGCCTCCGGCGCCGCTGCTGAGTGTCCGTGTTGGGTCCCTGCTTCCCTGCCGTTTCTGTGTTTGGGGTCTGGGCCAGCATCACCCCCTAGAGCGCCGTTTTACTCTTTATCCGCAGCCAGGCACCCTGTCCCGCCTTTCCACAGGCACCTTTTGTGGGTCCATGTCATGGTCCCTGTAAGAGCTTCTTTGGGGTTTTAGGTGACTCTAGGGGCTCGCCTCGTCTCGGATCTCACCGCCCGCCGTGCAGGGCTCAGCAGCCCTGGGACGGGGCGGGCAGGGGCGGGCCTGGCTGAGGTCCAGGCGAGCACTTCCCGAGAAGGTGGGGGCGACCAGCCGGAGGGGCCTGGAGAGCCTCCTGCCCGTGCTGCTGCGGGAGGTGCAGACCTGAGCTCCCGCACTCATGGCTCGTCTTCTCTTAGCTTCTAAGGTTCTTGCTTTTCCACACCCAGAAGACAGTGCCCGAAGCCAGGGACACCAGCCATGCGCCAAACAACTGGGCCTCAGGTGAGCCGAGCTTCCTTTCCGTCTGTTAAAAAGCACATGAGCGCCCGGCCGGTGTCGCTCAGTGGTTGAGCGCGGGCCTTATGAACCAGGAGGTCAGGCTCCAGGAGGTCACGGTTGGATTCCCCATGAGGCCCCTCCCCGGCCCCTGCCCAGCCCCTGCCCAGGTTGTGGACTCGATCCCTGGTGGGGGACGAGCAGGAGGCAGCCCATCAATGATTCTCCTTTTTTTTTTTTTTTTTTTTTAAT